CCCTCTTTCTCTCCCTCCCTCTCTCTCTCTCTCTCTCTCTCTCTCTCTCTCTCTCTCTCTCTCTCTCCTCTCTCTCTCTCTCCTCTCTCTCTCTCTCTCTCTCTCTCTCTCTCCCTCCCTCCCTCGCTCCTTCTCTCGCCCTCTTTCTCTCCCCCCCTCTCTCTCTCTCTCTCTCTCTCTCTCTCTCTCTCTCTCTCTCTCTCTCTCTCTCTCTCTCTCTCTCTCTCTCTCTCTCTCTCTCTTTCTCTCTCCCTCTCTCTCTCTCTCTCTCTCTCTCTCTCTCTCTCTCTCTCTCCTCCCTCGCTCCTTCTCTCCCCCTCTTTCTCTCCTCCCTCTCTCTCTCTCTCTCTCTCTCTCTCTCTCTCTCTCTCTCTCTCTCTCTCTCTCTCTCTTTCTCTCTCCCTCTCCCTCTCCCTCTCCCTCTTCCTCTCCCTCCCTCCCTACCTTCTCCCTTCGTCCCCTGCTTCCCCTCCCCTCCCTTCCCTCTCCCTCCCCCCTCCCCCCCTCTCACGACCTGTCTACTGCGTTGACATCGGAATATCTTAGTGGGGGAGGGGGGGTGGAGGGAGGGGGGGGGGGGGGAAGAAGTGGGGAGGGGGGGAGAAAAAGATGGGGGGGTGGGGGTCAGACGACATTCAATTTAAATAATGACCTTTACAATAGTCTAAGGTAAAGTGTATGTGTTGTAGGAGGGGGGGGGAGGAGGAAAAATGGGCGGGGGGGGGGGGGAGGAGGAATTGAATATGGCAGGAAATAAGTGCTAAGGGGAAGAAAGGGGGGCGGGGGGCAGGAATGGAAGACGAAAGGGGGGGGGAGGAGGAAGAAGTAGGGAAAAGATGAACTGAGAGGAGGAGAAAAGGGAAGTGGAGAAAAAGGTAGAAGAAAAAAAGAAAAAAAGAAAGAAGAAAGAAGAAAAATAGATGAAAGAGAAGGGAGAAGTAGAAGAAAATATAGAAAAAAGAAATAATAATGATAATAAGAAGGAAAAGAAAGTGATAAGGGGACGAATCGTGGGAAGAAAGAAAGGAAGAAGAGAGAGAGTGATAAGAAAGGAGGAGGTGAGAAAGGAGGAGGTAGGAGAAGGAATAAGAGAGAAAGTGTGATAAGGAAGGAGAAGGAAGGAGGAAGAAGGGGAGGGGTAAGAGAGTGAGGAAGGAAGAGGAAGGAAGAGGAATAAAAAAGTGATAAAGAAGGAGAAGGAAGGAGGAGGAAAGAGAAGGAAAGCGAAGGAAAGAGAATTAAAGAGAGGGAAAGAGAAGGAAGGAGGAGGAAAGAGAAGGAAAGCGAAGGAAAGAGAAGGAAGGAGGAGGAAAGAAAAGGAAAGAGAAGAAAGGAGAAAGAAGAAAAAGGAAAGAGAAGGAAGGAGAAGGAAGGAGAGGAGGGGACGAGGGACGAAGGAGCGATGGGGTAAGGGGGCGGGGGGGAGGGGGGGAGGGAGGCCCAAGGATGAAGAGAGGCCGCCGCCCGGGCCGCTGACGGGAGGAATCTGACCGTAAATACCACTCCAGGAGTATGTCCATTCGGGCCGACTCGGAGGCGCTTCACAAAGGGAGCTCGGCCGCCACGCCACACGGAACGGCGATCTACCTTTTTCTACCGCGGCTGTCTACCTTTCTCTGCTGTGTCTGTCTGTCTTTTTCTTAGGCGGCTATCTAGCTTTTTCTTAGGCGTCTGTCTACCTTTCTCTACTGTGTCTGTCTACCTTTCTCTACTGTGTCTGTCTACCTTTCTCTACTGTGTCTGTCTACCTTTCTCTACCGCGTCTGTCTGTCTTTTTCTTAGGCGGCTATCTACCTTTTTCTTAGGCGGCTATCTACCTTTTTCTTCCGCGCCTGTCTACCTTTCTCAACCGCGTCTGTCTGTCTTTTTCTTAGGCGGCTTTCTAGTTTTTTCTTCAGCGTCTGTCTATCTTTCTCTACCGCATCTATCTACCTTTTCCTACCGCATCTATCTACCTTTTTCTATCCGACAGCTCATCACTCGCAGCTAATCTACCTCGCCCACCCGCCCACTCGGTCGCTCTCCCCCCCCCTCTTTCTTTCGTCCTTTTGCCGAAATTTGTCATCAATTTGCTAGAAAAAAGGGAAGTTGAAGGTACAGAAGGGGAAGGAAGGAAGAAAGGAAGAGGGGGAGAGGGATAAGGGAAGAGAGGGAGGGGAAGAGAGGAAAGAGGGAAGAGAGAGGGAGGGGAAGAGTAAGGGAAGAGGGGAAGGAGGGAAGAGAGAGAGAGGGGAAGAATGGGATAAAAGAAGAGAGGGAGGAGGGAAGAGGGAGAGAGGGGAAGAGAGAGGGAAGAGGGGAAGGAGGGAAGAGAGAGGAAGGGGAAGAGGGGGGAGGGGGATAAGAGAAGAGGGGGAGGGAAAGAGAGGAAGGAGGGAAGAGGAAGGAGGGAAGAGGGAGGGAGGGGAAGAGGGGTAAGGGAGGAAAATTAGATAAAAGAAAAGGGAAAGAGGGAGAGGAAGCGAGGAGGGAAAGGAAGAAGAAGGGGAAAAGGGGCATGAGAAGAAGAGGAAGGAAGAGAAAAGGGAAAGAGGGGAAGGGGAGGAGAAGGGAAGGAGGAGGAGGGAGAAGGGAAAGGGGAGAGAATCGGGGAGGCAACGTAATACCTAAGTAATCATAGGAAATCCTCACAGGAATAAAAAAGGCCCAGAAAGGAGCATTATAATAGCAATGATCTTTATGGCTCTATGAATGCCTTGAATTATATTAGAATTTTAGTCTTTTTGGAGATGTAAGTGAGGGAGGAGGAGGGGGAGAGGGAAGGGAAGAGGGAGAAGGAGGGAGGGAGGGAGAGACAGAGAGAGACAGAGAGACAGAGAAACAAAGAGACAGAGAGACAGACAGACAGAGATAGACAGACAGACAGAGACAAACAGACAGACAAACGGACAGATACACAAACAAATCAAACCCAAACAAGATAAAGAAGAACATCTAGACACCGAAAGAGACAAAATCACACAAACAAACAGGACGCAAAACAAAAAAACAAAACAAAAAAGATAAAACCCGAGTCGGTAGCGTTTAGTGAAGTAAACATTATCGGCGCTAATTAACTACCTGTCTATCAGAGCTGTTTGTTCCGACAATAGCTCTCTGGATCCGAAGCCGCCCGTCAGTGTCTTCACACGGAACCGACCGTTTCGATATGCACCTGTTTTTTTTTTTTTTTTTTTTTTTTTTTTTTTTTTTTTTTTTTTTTTTTTGCCTCGGTCTTTCCACTCTTTCGTTCTTTTCAGAATTCGTTGTCCTCGTTTTTTATTTTTTTCGTATTTTGGTTTCTTTTTGATTCGTTTTTTTTTTTCTTTTTTCTTTTCATACCTCTTTGTTTCCTTCTTTTTTTTGAATAGCGATTTCTGTTTTTTTTTTTTATTTCGCTTATCGTTCTCTCTATTTTCTTTTTCTTTTTTTACACCTTTCGTTCCCTCTATTTTTCGTTTTTTTTCTCTCTCTCTATTTTTATCTATCGCATTTCGTTCTCATTTTTTTTCCCTCCATACGTCCGTTTGTTTAATCTCGTACCTGTGATGAGCCCCATATGTTTCCCGGTCGAGTTTAATGATGTCGACGATGGGACCAAGGTGGAATTTCGTTCTCTTTGCCTCTCTCTCTCTTTCTCTCTCTTTTTCTCTTTCTCTTTCTCTTTCTTTTTCTCTCTCTCGTTCTCGTTCTCGTTCTCTTTCTCATTCTCTCTCTCTTTCTCTTTCTCTTTCTCGTTCTCTCTCTCTCTCTCGCTCTCTCTCTCGCTCTCGCTCTCGCTCTCGCTCGCTCTTGCTCTTGCTCTTGCTCTTGCTCTCTCTCTCTCTCTCTCTCTCTCTCTCTCTCTCTCTCTCTCTCTCTCTCTCTCTCTCTCTCTCTCTCTCCCTCTCTCCCTCTTCCTCTCCCTCTCCCTCTCCCTCTCTCTCTCTCTCTTCTTTTCTTTCTCTTTTATCCTTTCTTTCTTTCTTTTTATCCCTCAAAAAAAAAAAAAAAATCACACACACAAAAAAACGCCAAAATTATTAAAAAGGGAGAAAGCAAAAACTCCTCATAAATAAAGGATATTTCTCATCACTTGAGAAACTGAAGGGCATGCTGGTGCCCGGAGAAAAGCCTTTAGTGATCAATGTTTATCAGTCGCGAGTTCTGCTCTCGGCCTTATGGACCGTCCGGATGGCAGACCGATAAACCTCTCTTCCTGAAGTGAATGAAGCTAAGTTTCTTCCTGAAGTGACTGAAACTAATTCTCTTCCTGAATGTGCATGAAGCGAATTATTCTTCCTGAATGTGAATGAAGTTAATTCTCTTCCTGAAGTAAATGAAGCTAACTCCCTTTCTTGACTGAATAGATACCTGTGTGTGTGTGTGTGTGTGTGTGTGTGTGTGTGTGTGTGTGTGTGTGTGTGTGTGTGTGTGTGTGTGTGTGTGTGTGTGTGTGTGTGTGTGTGTGTACGTGTGCGTGTGCGTGTGCGTGTGCGAGTGTGAGTGTGTGTATGTGTGTGTGCGAGTGTGCGTGCGCGTGTACGTGTACATGCGTGTGTGTGTGTGCGTGTGTGGACAATGATGAAAATAAATATGTATGTGCACGTTCAAAAGTATGGACATGCACTATTGTGTCTTGTCGGCATTACTTTGTTTTTCCTTTTACCGTGCAGTTGGATTCGATTTCTTCCCAATAAAAGAATGAGAATGTATTTTCCATCTACAGTTTCCATTTTACATAAACCTACACGAGTGAATTACAGACAAACATGCATACAAAAGAGGAAAAAAAACATATTAAAACAAATGAAAGAAAGAAAGAAAGATGAAAACAGACACACACACACACATACACGAACTTAGATATCCAAACAAGAACGAAAATACTCCACAAAAGAGCGGGGAAAAATAAGAAAAGAAAAAAAGAAACAAATGAAAACAAATGAAAGAAAGAAAGATAAAAAACACACACACACTCACCCACACATACACACACACAGACACACACACAAACTAAAATATCCAAACGGGAAACTCACCAAGATTAGCGTCATTTTGTTACTGAAAATCATGTTGAATTGCAGCCTCTACAAATCCATGGCATCGATTCTCTTGACTTCGACTTTGGCAGTGATAGTGAGAGTGATGATGGTGGTAATGGTGATGGGTCTGCTTCTTCTCCTGCTCCTGCTTCTGCTGAGGAAGGTCAAACCGGCGTGAGGTCACCGCTCCACCTTCTCGTCTCTGCCTCCGGGTCACTTCCGGTTCGCCGGATGCCCTGGAAGGAGAGAGAAAAAAAA